ATTTTGCTGCTAAACAGTAGTTCACAAAAACAGTAGCTTTCCTGTCTGCTGCGCATGCACTCTAAGCCTTGTTCATAAGTTATCAGTGGTTCCACATCAAAAGATAAACAGTTTTCACCGCGTTCGTGGCGTTGATTTAAATTTGTTGTGGAACACGCACATATAGTATCTTCCACCTTACAGTTACTATTTTCAAGGGAAAATGTTAGCATTTAGTCACGGAAACGTTGCCTCGTTCAGGTCTTTTGGCTGCCTGTTTTTTATTTCCATGTTACGTCTTGCATTTCATGCAGGTTAGTATGCATCATTGTTTCCAATTCCTCAGTGGATGGCTGCTTTCTCTTATCAAAAGAATTTGGATTGCCCAGAATTCGAGTTACTAGGGGGTTAAATATCTACTATTTTGGAGATAAAAGATTGTGTTGAACGGAGAATTGGGTATGCAATTTCTTGCACGCCACCCACGGGAATCAACTCAACTGTGACAACAGACTGAACTCACTGGCTAGGCGAGGTCACACGTACAAGTGAGTTAAATCAAGTTAAGCTCTTTTTAACCGGTACCATTTTGCAACCGATCTGTGTATACCTTCCACATAGCTGTCTATGGACCTACGTGAGTAATGATGCCAACGATGCAGGATTTCAGTTTATGAATTTCTTCCTGCATGAAAAGGCACTCACTGAATGTCTTTCATCGGGAATATAAAGACCCTGAGGCGGAATTGTGTCCCACATCTCAATGTCGTTTTTGAGGGGTGACGAATGGTCTTTGCGAGCATTCGCGAGCATGCCGAGCACTGCGATTTTTTTGGGAGCACGAGCAGAAATTAAAAATTTGCTTTGCGAGCTGGCGAGCAACGCAAAAATTTGGGAAGCACGAGCAAGCGAGCACTCGTTTAAATTTTGCGAGCAAATCGAGCAAAGGTAAAATTTTGCGAGCAGTTAAAAATTTTAATGGACCATTCATCACCCCTTTTTTGCAATCAACCTCCATTTTGCACTATGGTTAGTTTAGTTACACGATACATTCATGCTAAGCTAAATTGTGCTGATATTAATCAGAGCGGGGACTCTGGTACTTACAAGTATAAGATAATTCATGTGTAAAATTATGTTATGGTTGAGTTCTTGCTTAAATTCGGCATTTTCCTTTGTTTTAAATTCATTATCATACGTTACCATACCCTCAAGCAAAGGAAAAAAACTTAAACCAAAGATAAAAAGGAACCTTACATATTACATTCATCACCATGTGTTTCCTTCCCCCGCTTAAAATTTTCAACACTCGCTTACTTTATTTTTGTGACGCTGTATTTAAATTTATTTTTACAAGGCAAATGGTTATTTTTACAGCCATCAGAAATCCTAAAAAAAGCCGAATGTATAAATTTTACGGGATATGAAATTTAAAACAATTATCTCTCCAACAACTAAGACTGGCGTTGAAAACTGTAAAAGTACTATTATATCGATTTAGCTTTGCCTCAATAAGCTACAATATCTGAAATCCATTCGTTCTCTTTCCGGAATTCATTACGATCGACTGAACGAGCTCTAATGTTTCTTTTGTATATTTAACCCCTTCACTGCGTGTTTGATGGAGTTTTGTAAGGCGAGTCTAACTTTTGAGTCTGCAGACGAAATCCTATGATGTGACCATTCAAATGAAAGCTCTCTGCCTGTACGTTCATATGGTGCTATTTGTTTGTCAAAATGTTAGAAAATGAAATTTGGGAATTTTGTCGAAATTTGCCTTTGGCCACATTTGGCAGTGAAAGGGTTAATTACATTTGCAAATGTCATTATTTAGTTGATAAGATAAATGGCCTTGAATGGCTTTAAATTCCACGGTTTAGCCAATTTACCTCAGTTTTCTCTTATTTCTCCTCAGTGTCCTACCTGTAGTCTCCGAACTATTCCCACTAAACCTAATTTCGACCCGCAACAAAACGAATTTGCAGCGCGAAGTCAATAAGCTTTGAAATACAACACGAACTGAACTATTTAGTGTTTTTTGCGGGTCAGTGTTTGGGTACGAAAAATTATTCAGCTGGCTATGTTTTTCAGGACCAGTATTAAGAGTGCTAGCCAGACTTTGCGTCTAGCTCCATATAAATGTCCCCTAAAAATATTGCCCCAGCCTCCTCTTTCCAAGCAAAAGATGAATTGCGTTGCTGAAAGTATGCCGTCAAAAGAGGATGAACTAGGTCTTGATAAAGTGCGAAAGAATATACCTCAAGTAGCGTTTTAAATAAGATGACGATACAGAAATAGTGGAACAGGATATTGTGGAATTTGGTGATAACAAGACGGCATGGTTGATAGCGGAGTGTAAGTTTGTACAAACACACACATTTGTTTTTCCTTTTACATGGCGGACAAGCCATGCTCTCGTTTTTGTTATTTCATGATACGGTTTGTTATCTCTCAAAATGTTGAGAGACATTGAGAGAGAGACATTGAGAGCGAGACATTGAGAGCGAACTTTCAATAAGAAAATATAAAACGCGTCCTTTGGATATTCACTTAGCTTCCATCTCGCCTCAGAAATTTGAATACCTATTTGTCGCTTATAGTAATCCAATTATCTAGCTGAAGCATGGATCTTGGAATAGCCTACGCAGTAAGCGTTTTCATGCGGTTTCAGAGCAATAACTGAAGCTATGCAAAGTCATTTGCATATATTAATAAAATACCCTGAGGATATGTAAATTATGATTATAAAGCGTCACGTTGGGCCCACTATAGGCTCCCTCCAGACTCTTCGTCTGGTTTGGGCTTGTCCCATTATAAAGAGAACTTAATCCAATGTATTGTAACCTTTTTCCGCTTATTTACATATTTATTCATTCGTATTATTATCTTTTTCAACCTCTTTTTCCTTGATGTCGTAAATCTCTTTAATTTTCCTTTTAAGATGTGGAGTAACCACACTGCCTGTCTCGAATAGCTTTTAGCTAAATGCAGGCAGTGTGTATGATAAATGTATTTATTTGCTTTTTAATAAAATTGTTGTTGTTTTTCCTTTGTGAACGTCTTGTTAATTTCCTTCGTTTTTTAATCGTTACCCTCTCTTTCGCTTTTATTTCCTTTATGCGTTAATTTAAGTCGCGTTGATTTCCAATATCTTAATTTCGTGGAGCGTTAATTTCCTATAGAAGTGCCTCCCACCCCACTTCCCCCTCCCCGTGGGAAGGTGCCGGCTTATCAAACTGGATTTCACGATTATGTTTTCGAAATGTCTTCTTCCAGCCTTTTTATTTCTTTCTTTTACTTACTCAATAGATGTGTCAACTCCAAGAAGTCCGGACTGTGAAATAAGTGCTTCTTGCTTCCACTCACAGAAATGCCAACCGCCTTTTCAGACAATAACAGTAAGGCCGAAAGACTCTAAAGTAACTTCCAACTGCTCGATAGTGACCGGTGGAAAAGTACGAGACATGACTTGGCAGGATCTTGAAAAAATCCTTAATGCCAGTAAGACCGGTCTGTTCTTACAACAAATCGATTCAGAAGATGGAAATGAGTCATGTAGATGTTTTTCTATACAATACGCAAGTAAGTATTTTCTCTCTTTGCCCCTTTTTGAATTTATGATGAAGCAAAAAACTTGTGGCAATTTTCTGTCTCTTGTTACATGAATTATTGATGCCGAAACCAATGAAGGCCTCTTAACATTTCAGTTTCAGTTCAGCTTAAGGTCTCGGTAAAGGAAAACGAGGTGCCCACAGAAAAAAAATTCGAGTCGCGCGCGTATTTTCGCTACAAAGGAAAGTTATATATCAAATTAAAGCTAAAAGACTTAATTACCTTATAAAAGATTTTATTTTATCGAATTTCAAAAGGCGCTTAAGTTTTTTGCTCTCGAACTCAGAGGTATCGAGTTTACTGCTGAAGCTCCAGCCCTTTCGCGTTGTTAAATATTCACTTCCTTTTTATTGCATCTGATTGACAGATAAAAGACCTAAAAGAGGGTGTGAGGAAATTCACATATGTCTCGTACTAGCGGAATTATTGCATTTCAAACTAAAAAGTCGAATCTCGAGCGCGATTTACGCAAAGAAACTGACATAAAATCGGTCACAAAGGGAAATCGGAAAATTCCTCACACCCTTTTTTAGGTCTTTTATCTGTCAATCAGATGCAATAAAAAGGAAGTGAATATTTAACAACGCGAAAGGGCTGGAGCTTCAGCAGTAAACTCGATACCTCTGAGTTCAAGAGCAAAAAACTTAAGCGCCTTTTGAAATTCGATGAAATAAAATCTTTTATAAGGTAATTTAGTCTTTTAGCTTTAATTTGATATATAACTTGCCTTTGTAGCGAAAATACTCGCGCGACTAGAATATTTTTCTGTAGGCACCTCGTTTTCCTTTACCGAGACCTTAACCACTCTTTACGGTAAAAGTAATCGTTAAACTAGAAAGGATACATTTCGTTTTGTCCGGCTGAACCTCGGGACCTTAATAGGTTAGCATCGGAACCGATTTGCTAATTAAAAATCAACATCAAGGACTAGGTTGGTCCGTATTAGGGAGGGGAGAGAGAAGGATAGCTTGAATACAGCTTATTGAAAATGTTTACCTCCAGTAAAGCGCAACTAGGCAAAACTGTGACCCAATAGAATTATGGCCGGAATTTTTGAAGAACCTTATATTTGCATTTCCCTTTCGCAGAAAACAAAAGCACGAAAACTGGTCATGATACCAAGACCTTACAGTAATAATCTTCGCTGGCGTGCGATTTGTCCAGGAGTTGCTGTTTGAGACCTTTTACGCTGGCGAAATGCGGAGCATTTCGCAGCTTATACGTGTCATACTCCCTCTTTTTAACTTTTATCAGCACCCCATTTTGCTCAATATTATAGTTACAGCAAGCACGTTCTTCTTTTAAAAAGTCAGGATCATTGAACCCAAAGTTTCTTTCGGTCCCCGTATTACCTATTGCGTGTTTCAGAGGTCAAAAATAGCTGTAAACGGTACATTGTAACTGAGTGAATGACTTATGAGCCAAGGAAGTACAAGACTAAAAATTTGTTCTCAGTTCCAGTTCAGGAAGTAATTAAGACAAGTTCTCCCGTTTACTACTATCCTGACACGAGACAAATGGAACTGAATTGTACCTTCAAGGGATGGCCTCGTCCTCGTGTAGTTTGGTACAATCCAGATAAAAAACAAATCATCAACGGATCTGAAGGTTTTTACATCTCAGAGCAGCTGGTTGGAAAGGATACCTTAAGTTCTCTTCTTCGTAATCTTAATATCCAAGAAAAAGACGAAGGGGATTATATTTGCACTGCAACGAACGGTTGGTCGAGTGAAATTTCAAAGATAATTGAGCTGGTTTATAAGTGTAAGTGGTCTGATTAGTTAGAGGTATGTTTTGAAGTGAACCCGGATTACTGTATACCAAGAGGCTGGAAGTGGGGGGGAGGGATCCTGATCCCGTATTTCCCCTCTCTTTCACCACAATCCCGTACCCCGAACGTCTGTCATCTCTATCCCGAATACCGTTTTCTTTCAGTTTTTGGCGAATCCCGCTTCCCGATCGAGTAGCGGTCAATTCCCGTATCGCGTAAAAAAAATTGGGGGTTTTCCCGAATCCCGCCTGTATTTCGTGCGAGAATACCCTTCCAGACCCTGTACATATCCGTATATCGTTTTCTTTCCCAATCCTGCATCCGTGCCCAAATTTTGGAGAATCCCTCTTCCGCAGAAGCAGTCAAATCCCGTATCCTGTTAACGTTTCCCGAATCCTGCACTGTATTTCAGTCAAATCCCGGAGCCTGGGAATACCCTTGTAGATCATAGATCCCGTACATGCCGTCCGACGAAATTGTCGCGGATGAAGTTGACATTCTTTCTCTCCGATGAGCAGGAAAAATACAGCTCTTCGGTTGCCTTGCAGTCAACAGACATTCCATTCAGAGGGAATAATAAACCCCAAGAGCCATTATGGCTTTTGTAAACCCTTAATGACTGGTCCAGAGGGAAACAGTCAATTTTGTTTCACTAGAATCTCAATGTTTCCAGAGGCGAAACCGAGGAAAACATCGAGATTCGTGATTTGTTATACAGCTGGAAATTCATTAAACCTAGCTGTAACGGCGGTCGTTGGTCAACATTCGCGGGCAACAGAGCACTGTTACCCTCTGACGTCATACATTTTGCAATGTTGCTCGCTCAGAGATTTTGGCGTGAAACAGTTTCATTGTTAGATGTCATGTGACCTCGAAGTAACCAATGAGAGCGCCCGCTGTTAAGAAGAAATTTCCAGCCACATAACAATGTAAGATATTAGCTGATTTCAGGAGCCTTATATCGCGCTAAATTTTAATGAATGTCTTATCCCTTCAAACGGTGAGAAAAAATACGTCGCTTGTGTAGCCCCCGACAGTTAACTTTAAAGATAAACGAAGAACTTCTTGCCACTACCCTCTTCCACTCCGAATTCTAGGAATCCTTAGCTTATTAGAAAAATAATAGATAGTCTGAATGTCTTCTTTTACCTTTTATGCGGTGACTGATGATTATCACGCATAAAAAGCCTATCCATTGGACTACGATAAAGATGATTATAATCATGGGAGAATGATATAATAGAGAAAATTTAAATTCAATTCTGTAAACAAGCTCTAGGTGTGAATAAACAGGGTCCAAATGTCCAAATGAACTTGGATGACTACCACGGAAAGAAATAACTAACGTAAATATAATCAAATTTTGGATACATTTGGAAAACAAACAAGATGATTATTATGCCAAGCAATGTTTACAAATATCAAAAGATATGGCTGAGAAAAACCAGATGAGTCTTATGAAAATAGTTAATACCTTATGCAACAATCCGAATCTCAGTGAATTGTATTTAAATGATTAAAAACTCCTTAACATATATAAAGAATATCTAATTAACTATACGTGAAGTACTGGCTTTACACCAATATAATCTAAAAAGAAATAACAAGAAGCTAAAATTCTACTCAACATTCAAAAATGACCATCACAAAAGTGATTGCTTGAACATAATCAGCAATATAAATCACAAAAAAACACTGAATAAAGACAGACTTGGCAATCGTCCCTTACAAATTGAAACGGGCAGACATACAGTACCGAAAACTCCAGAAAATCTTCGAATTTGCCCCTTCTGCCACTTAAATGAAGTTGAACACGAATTACACTTTCTATTCAATTGTAATCTTTACGATAGTCTTCGATCTAACTTTTGCAGAAACATTAGTAATAGATACCCCCCTTTTAATAATTTTGACAACAATAAAAAAGATGTTCTTCATATTTAACAATGTCGATCCTCATATCTACAGACTGACAGCTGCTTACATACATTTATGTATGGAATATAGACAAAAACTTGTTCTTTATTTAAGATTCATAAGTAATGTAGGTAATACCACGTACTCACGTGGGAATACTGAATGCTGTAGTCCACTAAAGTTGTACAATAGCACGGCAATGATCTTTAAATTATATTTGATTTGTTGATAATATCTGCCATATATCTTCTAATTATGCAGGTCTGGACCCTAAGCATCGGCATATTTCTCTTCCCGGGGTTTCGGTGATGGCCTACAACAACGTCAGTTTAAAGTGCTTGGTTGAAATAGATCCTGACGACTGCGCAAATTCAATGAAATTTCAGTGGTTTTTTAACAACAGCTCAACGCCATTAACAAGTGGTGAAAAGTATGATATACAAGAAAGGAGAACTAACAGCAGATGCAAAATAAATTTCATTCTCACCATAGCTAATGTTACTGACGATGATGAGGGAAAGTATAAATGTCAGTGGATCTGTCACAAGGACGCCCCCAGTTCCCTCCATTCCACGTCTTTTATCCAGTTGAACGTATTTCGTTTTACAGGTATTGTTTCCACTACAAGATTTCTCTATTGGCTTCTCCAAATTTTACTACACATTGAATGATCTTTTAATAATCATGTACCTAAAAAAGGTCTTCTCTAAACGCAAGCTCGAGCGGTTTTCCAAGACACGGATCAGTAACAAGTGCGATAAGAAAGTCAATTAAGTCAAAAACTCGTCGTTGAGTGATAGATCACTTGAATGCGTTTAACAATCGTGCTTTTTTTTTTTTTTTCAGAACCAACAACCGAGACCACTACTGATGGGAACACAGCATCGCCAGGTAAAAAACAGCATTTCCTTATAACCAAGGGCAGCCAACGTCAATTTTCGGAAAATATCTGTTCGGAAGACGATTTGAGATTTTGAAATTTCGGAACATTTGTTGTAAAATTTCTTGCTTTCCTGCCTCTCCTAGGATTTTCGAACATCTAAAACATGGTATAATTGCCCATTTTGAACGGATTTTTACCCTAAAAAGTTCACCTAGAATTTTCGGGGGCCTTTTCTGGCTGAAATTTTCGAAAAGGAAAGTTCTGGTCGCTGTAATTTTCGGATCACTAGACTTTCAGCTAGAAAATCCGAACAGATGAAACATGTTTAGGATATAAAAATGTGCCTTTATCTACCGTTTAAATACTAAAATACGTTTAACAATGCTATGTTTAAGTGTTTTTGAACTATACTTTTGTTGGGCGCCCCTGTATAACGCAAACTCTGGCTAAAGGTACCTCAATTAGCCAGTCACAACGAAGACGAGATGTGAAATGAGTGAACATTCACATTCTAAAGTTACAGACACCTTGTGTAAAAAGGGGTCTAAAAAAGGTCTTCTCTAAACGCAAGCTCGAGCGGTTTTCCAAGACATGGATCAGTAACAAGTGCGATAAGAAAGTCAATTAAGTCAAAAACTCGTCGTTGAGTGATAGATCACTTGAATGCTTTTAACAATCCTGCTTTTTTTCTTTTTTTCAGAACCAACAACCGAGACCACTACTGATGGGAACACAGCATCGCCAGGTAAAAAACAGCATTTCCTTATAACCAAGGGCAGCCAACGTCAATTTTCGGAAAATATCTGTTCGGAAGACGATTTGAGATTTTGAAATTTCGGAACATTTGTTGTAAAATTTCTTGCTTTCCTGCCTCTCCTAGGATTTTCGAACATCTAAAACATGGTATAATTGCCCATTTTGAACGGATTTTTACCCTAAAAAGTTCACCTAGAATTTTCGGGGGCCTTTTCTGGCTGAAATTTTCGAAAATGTAAGTTCTGGTCGCTGTAATTTTCGGATCACTAGACTTTCAGCTAGAAAATCCGAACAAATGAAACATTTTTAGGATATAAAAATGTGCCTTTATCTACCGTTTAAATACTAAAATACGTTTAACAATGCTATGTTGAAGTGGTTTTGAACTATACTTTTGTTGGGTGCCCCTGTATAACGCAAACACTGGCTAAAGTTACCTCAATTAGCCAATCACAACGAATACGAGATGTGAAATGAGTGAACATTCACATTGTAAAGTTACAGACACCTTGTACAGTGTATACCGCCGCCTGGTTATCTCAGTTGGGAGAGCGCTGGTCTGCTGAGCGGGACGGTCGTGTGTTTAAACCCCGGCCGAACCAACACTCAGGGTCTTAAAATAACTGAGAAGAAAGTGCTGCCTTTGTAATGACATCTGCAGACGGTTAGACTTTCTAGTCTTCTCGGATAAGGAAGAAAACCGTAGGTTCCGTCTCAGAGCAATTTCACTTATCTTGTTCTTGTGAAATGTAAAAGAACCCACACCATTATTCGAGAAGAGAAGGGATGTAGACCTGGGTTATCTGCAAGGAGACACTGAAATTAAAGCTCCGCTCTGCTGTATGATCCGCACCATATGGTGGAAGTGATTAAACAAATAAATATAACTAAAAAAAATCATCTTGTGCTCTGCAAATATGAGTAGGTTCACTGTTCATGCTATGCAACAACACGTTTAAGGACAGTGGCACCCGGCAACAGATCTCTGCTCCCCTAGTCTAGCTAGGAGCTTCTTTTCAAACGGCTCGTGGGGAAAAATTTCCACTCGCTGATTCCTGTAAAAAAAAAAAATGATTTCATCTAGCAGAAATTCTGCTGGTGCTTTTCCCTAAAAATCCTGGGAAATTCTACAATTTAATTTAAAGATTACTTTTATTGTTTTGTTTTCAATAACGTTTAGTTTTCCGTTTTGATATCTTATACTCCGAATTAGCCTCCGCGCAAGCTCTCCATTGGGGGGATATCGTAAAAAGTACACGCGAGAGGCACGGGAACGGAGACGCGACTGCGGGGGGGCGGGGGGGAAGAGAAAGGGAGACATTGCCTCTGAATTGCCAACCAAATCTAAAAAGAGTATCCTGATCTTATCGCTTTTCAAATAACAAGAAACATTGGAAGAAAACAGAACCACTCTGAGTCGGCCCTGAGTCGCTGGACTGTTATGCCGGAATTCAAAAGTAATTACCAACGCCGTAACTCATATGTTTACTTATATAAGTAATCGTATTTGTTTCTCTTTTCATTTTAAATTTCCCTTTTTTTATATCGATGAAAGTAATATGTTGAGGACCTTTCCCCTTTACCACCTTTATTTCCAGATTCCTCGACACCATCGTCACAAACGACCACTAGCTCAACTTCAACAGGTCAGTGATGTTAAGGGGTAGTCACTAAGTATAGTGTTGCGATGGTACTAATTGCAGTGGCAGGTTCAGACCTTCAGATTAGAGAGGGGGCAGTCATCCAGACCCTGAGATAAGGAAGGACTTTCTTAAAATTTTTTTTCGACCTTTCAGGCCTCAGTTTGGTCCAAAAATAACGGGAGGGCGCGGGGCCCCCGGGCCCCCCCTCTAGATCCGCCTCTAAATTCCCAACCAAATCTAAAAAGAGTATCCAGATCTTATCGCTTTTCAAATAATGCGAAACATTGGAAGAAAACAGAACCACTCTCAGTCGGCCCCTGAGTCGCTGGACTGTTATGCTGGAATTCAAAAGTAATTACCAACGCCGTAACTCATATGTTTACTTATATAAGTAATCGTATTTGTTTCTCTTTTCATTTTAAATTTCCTTTTTTTAAATCGATGAAAGTAATATGTTGAGGACGTTTTCCCTTTACCACCTTTATTTGCAGATTCCTCGACTCCATCGAAACAAACGACCACTAGCTCAACTTCAACAGGTCAGTGATGTTAATAGGTAGTCACTAAGTATAGTGTTGCAATGGGACTAATTGCAGTGGCGGATTCAGGCCTTCAGATAAGAGCGGGGGCGGTCATCCAGACCCTGAGATAAGGGGGGGGCTTTCTTAAATTTTTTTTTCGACCTTTCAGGCCTCAGTTTGGTCCAAAAATAACGGGGAGGCCCAGGGCGCCCGGGCCCCTCCTCTAGATCCGCCTCTGACTTGCCAACCAAATCTAAAAAGAGCATCCAGATCTTATCGCTCTCCAAATAATATGAAACATTAGAAGAAAACAGAACCACTCTGAGTCGGCCTCTGAGTCGCTGGACTGTTATGCCGGAATTCAAAAGTAATTACCAACGCCGTAACTCATATCTTTACTTATATAGGTAAACGTATTTGTTTCTCTTTTCATTTTAAATTTCCTTTTTTTATATCGATGAAAGTAATATGTTGAGGACGTTTCCCCTTTACCAACTTTATTTGCAGATTCCTCGACACCATCGTCACAAAAGACCACTAGCTCAACTTCAACAGGTCAGTGATGTTAATAGGTAGTCACTAAGTATAGTGTTGCAATGGGACTAATTGCAGTGGCGGATTCAGGCCTTCAGATAAGAGTGGGGGCGGTCATCCAGACCCTGAGATAAGGGGGGGCTTTCTTAAAAATTTTTTTTTGACCTTTCAGGCCTCAGTTTGGTCCAAAAATAATGGGGAGGCCCAGGGCCCCCGGGCCCCTCCTCTAGATCCGCCTCTGACTTGCCAACCAAATCTAAAAGGAGCATCGAGATCTTATCGCTCTTCAAATAATGCGAAACATTGGAAGAAAACAGAACCACTCTGAGTCGGCCCCTGAGTCGCTGGACTTTTATGCCGGAATTCGCAAGTAATTATTAACGCCGTAACTCATATGTTTACTTATATAAGTAATCGTATTTGTTTCTGTTTTTATTTTAAATTTCCTTTTTTTATATCGATGAAAGTAATATGTTGAGGACGTTTCCCCTTTACCAACTTTATTTGCAGATTCCTCGACACCATCGTCACAAAAGACCACTAGCTCAACTTCAACAGGTCAGTGATGCTAGGGGGTAGTCACTAAGTATAGTGTTGCAATGGGTCTAATTGCAGTGGCAATTAAGGGAGGGCTTTCATAAAATTTTTTTTGGACCTTTTATGCCTCAGTTTGGTCCAAAAATAAAGGGGAGGCCAAGGGCCCCCGGGCCCCTCCTCTAGATCCGCCTCTGAAATGCCAACCAAATCTAAAAAGAGTATCCAGATCTTATTGCTTTTCAAATAACACGAAACATTGGAAGAAAACAGAACCACTCTCAGTCGGCCTCTGAGTCGCTGGACTGTTATGCCGGAATTCAAAAGTAATTACCAACGCCGTAACTCATATCTTTACTTATATAGGTAAACGTATTTGTTTCTCTTTTCATTTTAAATTTCCTTTTTTTATATCGATGAAAGTAATATGTTAAGGACGTTTCCGCTTTACCAACGTTATTTGCAGATTCCTCGACACCATCGTCACAAAAGACCACTAGCTCAACTTCAACAGGTCAGTGATGTTAATAGGTAGTCACTAAGTATAGTGTTGCAATGGGACTAATTCCAGTGGCGGATTCAGGCCTTCAGATAAGAGTGGGGGCGGTCATCCAGACCCTGAGATAAGGGGGGGCTTTCTTAAAAATTTTTTTTCGACCTTTCAGGCCTCAGTTTGGTCCAAAAATAACGGGGAGGCCCAGGGCCCCCGGGCCCCTCCTCTAGATCCGCCTCTAAATTGCCAACCAAATCTAAAAAGAGTATCCAGATCTTATCGCTCTTCAAATAATACGAAACATTGGAAGAAAACAGAACCACACTGAGTCGGCCCCTGAGTCGCTGGACTTTTATGCCGGAATTCGCAAGTAATTATTAACGCCGTAACTCATATGTTTAGTTATATAAGTAATCGTATTTGTTTCTCTTTTCATTTTAAATTTCCTTTTTCTATATCGATGAAAGTAATATGTTGAGGACGTTTCCCCTTTACCAACTTTATTTGCAGATTCCTCGACACCATCGTCACAAACGACCACTAGCTCAACTTCAACAGGTCAGTGATGTTAATAGGTAGTCACTAAGTATAGTGTTACAATGGGACTAATTGCAGTGGCGGATTCAGGCCTTCAGATAAGAGCGGGGGCGGTCATACAGACCCTGAGATAAGGGGGGGCTTTCTTAAAATTTTTTTTTCGACCTTTCAGGCCTCAGTTTGGTCCAAAAATAACGGGGAGGCCCGGGGCCCCCGGGCCCCCCTTCTAGATCCACCTCTAAATTGCCAACCAAATCTAAAAAGACTATCCAGATCTTATCGCTTTTCAAATAACACGAAACATTGGAAGAAAACAGAACCACACTGAGTCGGCCCCTGAGTCGCTGGACTGTTATGCCGGAATTCAAAAGTAATTACCAACGCCGTAACTCACATGTTTACTTATATAAGTAAACGTATTTGTTTCTCTTTTCATTTTAAATTTCTTTTTTTTATATCGATAAAAGTAATATGTTGAGGACTTTTCCTCTTTACCAACTTTATTTGCAGATTCCTCGACTCCATCGTCACAAAAGACCACTAGCTCAACTTCAACAGGTCAGTGATGTTGAGGGGTGGTCACTAAGTATAGTGTTGCAATGGGACTAATTGCAGTGGCGGATTCAGGCCTTCAGATAAGAGCGGGGGCGGTCATCCAGACCCTGAGATAAGGGGGGGCTTTCTTAAAAATTTTTTTCGACCTTTCAGGCCTCAGTTTGGTCCAAAAATAACGGGGAGGCCCAGGGCCCCTGGGCGCCTCCTCTAGATCCCCCTCTGAATTGCCAACCAAACCTAAAAGAGTATCCAGATCTTATCGCTTTTCAAATAATACGAAACATTGGAAGAAAACAGAACCACTCTGAGTCGGCCTCTGAGTCGCTGGACTTTTATGCCGGAATTCGCAAGTAATTATTAACGCCGTAACTCATATGTTTACTTATATAAGTAATCGTATTTGTTTCTGTTTTTATTTTAAATTTCCTTTTTCTATATCGATGAAAGTAATATGTTGAGGACGTTTCCCCTTTACCAACTTTATTTGCAGATTCCTCGACACCATCGTCACAAACGACCACTAGCTCAACTTCAACAGGTCAGTGATGTTAATAGGTAGTCACTAAGTATAGTGTTGCAATGGGACTAATTGCAGTGGCGGATTCAGGCCTTCAGATAAGAGCGGGGGCGGTCATCCAGACCCTGAGATAAGGGGGGGCTTTCTTAAAAATTTTTTTCGACCTTTCAGGCCTCAGTTTGGTCCAAAAATAACGGGGAGGCCCAGGGCCCCTGGGCGCCTCCTCTAGATCCCCCTCTGAATTGCCAACCAAACCTAAAAGTGTATCCAGATCTTATCGCTTTTCAAATAATACGAAACATTGGAAGAAAACAGAACCACTCTGAGTCGGCCTCTGAGTCGCTGGACTTTTATGCCGGAATTCGCAAGTAATTATTAACGCCGTAACTCATATGTTTACTTATATAAGTAATCGTATTTGTTTCTCTTTTCATTTTAAATTTCCTTTTTTTATATCTATGAAAGTAATATGTTGAGGACGTTTCCCCTTTACCAACGTTATTTGCAGATTCCTCGACACCATCATCACAAAAGACCACTAGCTCAACTTCAACAGGTCAGTGATGTTAATAGGTAGTTACTAAGTATAGTGTTGCAATGGGACTAATTGCAGTGGCAGATTCAGGCCTTCAGATAAGAGCGCGGGCGGTCATACAGACCCTGTGATAAGGGGGGGCTTTCTTAAAATTTTTTTTTCGACCTTTCAGGTCCCAGTTTGGTCCAAAAATAACGGGGAGGCCCGCGGCCCCCGCGCTCCCCCTCTAGATCCGCCTCTAAATTGCCAACCAAATCTAAAAAGAGTATCCAGATCTTATCGCTTTTCAAATAACACGAAACATTGGAAGAAAACAGAACCACTCTGAGTCGGCCCTTGAGTCGCTGGACTGTTATGCCGGAATTCAAAAGTAATTACCAACGCCGTAACTCATATCTTTACTTATATAGGTAAACGTATTTGTTTTTCTTTTCATTTTAAATTTCCTTTTTTTATATCGATGAAAGTAATATGTTGAGGACGTTTCCCCTTTACCAACTTTATTTGCAGATTCCTCGACAGCATCGTCACAAAAGACTACTAGCTCAACTTCAACAGGTAAGTGATGTTAATAGGTAGTCACTAAGTATAGTATTGCAATGGGACTAATTGCAGTGGTGGATTCAGGCCTTCAGACAAGAGCGGGGGCGGTCATCCAGACCCTGAGATAAGGGGGGGGGCGCTTCTTAAAATTTTTTTTCGACCTTTCAGGCCTCAGTTTGGTCCAAAAATAACGGGCAGGCGCAGGGCCCCCTGGCCCCTCCTCTAGATCCGCCTCTAAATTGCCAACCTAATCTAAAAACAGTATCCAGATCTTATCGCTTTTCAAATAACACGAAACATTGGAAGAAAACAGAACCACTCTGAGTTGGCCCCTGAGTCGCTGGACTGTTATGCCGGAATTCAAAAGTAATTACCAACGCCGTAACTCATATGTTTACTTATATAGGTAAACGTATTTGTTTCTCTTTTCATTTTAAATTTCCTTTTTTTATATCGATGAAAGTAATATGTTGAGGATGTTTCCTCTTTACCAACTTTATTTGCAGATTCCTCCACACCATCGTCACAAAAGACCACTCGCTCAACTTCAACGGGTCAGTGATGTTAAGGGGTAGTCACTAAGTATAGTGTTGCAATGGGACTAATTGCAGTGGCGGATTCAGGCCTTCAGATAAGAGTCGGGACGGTCATCCAGACCCTGAGATAAGGGGGGGCTTTCTTAAATTTTTTTTTCGACCTTTCAGGCCTCAGTTTGGTCCAAAAATAAGGGGGAGGCCCAGAGCTCCCGGGCCCCTCCTCTAGATCCGCCTCTGACTTGCCAACCAAATCTAAAAAGAGTATCCAGATCTTATCGCTTTTCAAATAACACGAAACATTGGAAGAAAACAGAACCACTCTGAGTCAGCCCCTGAGTCGCTGGACTGTTATGCCGGAATTCGCAAGTAATTATTAACGCCGTAACTCATATGTTTACTTATATAAGTAATCGTATTTGTTTCTGTTTTTATTTTAAATTTCCTTTTTTTATATCGATGAAAGTAATATGTTGAGGACGTTTCCCCCTTACCAACTTTATCTGCAGATTCCTCGACACCATCGTCACAAAAGACCACTAGCTCAACTTCAACAGGTCAGTGATGCTAGGGGGTAGTCACTAAGTATAGTGTTGCAATGGGTCTAATTGCAGTGGCAATTAAGGGAGGGCTTTCTTAAAATTTTTTTGTACCTTTCATGCCTCAGTTTTGTCCAAACATAACGGGGAGGCCCAGGGCCCCCGGGCCCCTCCTCTAGATCCGCCTCTGAATTGCCAACCAACTCTAAACATAGTATCCAGGTCTTATCGCTTTTCAAATAATACGAAACATTGGAAGAAAACAGAACCACTCTCAGTCGGCCTCTGAGTCGCTGGACTGTTATGCCGGAATTCAGAAGTAATTACCGGGTGTCAGTAAAACGCCGGGTAGCGCCCCGGCCGGGGCTGAAGATGGGGTCTATGTCTTGTTTTTAAAGAATACTGTTTTAGGGTTAGGGTTAGGGTTAGCGTCAAATCGAACCCTAACCCTAACCCTTAAACAGCATTCTTTAATAGGAAGATAGACCCGGACCCCGGCCACGACTCCGCGTTCTACTGACACTCGTAATTACCAGCGAGTTGCATCGTGCTCCAGTCTAGAGACACATTTTCACAAATTAACAAAATATAGTGTATTAATTCCTGGTAGGCCCACAGGTAACCACAGTACGGTTCCAGTAAAATTCCCGGGTAAAGTTACAGTGTTTGTATGTGGTAAAAATACGATCCTAAAAGTTCTAGAAAAATAGTGAATAAAGATCAATGAAACTTACTCTGCAATTAGTTGTTGTTGTCCTTAATGCTCCAACGAAGTTTCGTGATAGTTTGTTTAAATTCACCCTATATACAATAATAATATACAAGGTAGGAGACGCGAGATGCCATCTTCACCGCCATGCTCCCTTTTAAGACAACTTTTTCCTCGAAATTCGAACTCCAACGGAAAATAAACATGCCAGGAAGTAGCCGGGCCAGATCAACGCGCGGCCAAGAAAATGAGGCCTGGGCAGTGTACAAAAAAAATCCATCCCGGGAGTCCTGGGATGACCTTTCTGGGGACCAATACATCATTTGCCTGAAGCCACCCTCCCCTGCTGGAAAAATACTTGATAGAAGGCAATTGTTTTTCCTAGCCAATCACAACTCGCTAGAGCAAACTCCGCGCACGCGCCCAAATTTACCACCCCAGGACTCCCGAGATGGATTTTTTTGTACACTGCCCAGGCCTTATTTTCTTGGCCACACGTTGATCTGGCCCGGCTACTTCGGCAAGCATGTTCTCGGTCTTTTTGGATTACTTCCTTTGAGTTTGTCAAACTCTGTGGGATTCGTTTCTCTATCTGAAAAAGCTTTATTGGTTTCTATATCTGTTGCTATCCTATTTCTACGATCATGGCATGTTTATTTTCCGTTGAGTTCGAATTTCGTGGAAAAAGTTGTGTTGAAAGGGAGCATGGCGGCGAAGATGGCATCTCGTGTCTCCTACCTTGTATATTATTATTGTGTATCAATAGATCATTCTCTCTTGTGTATACAGAGTGAATTTGAACAAATTATCACGAAACTTCGTTAGAGCATTAAAAACAACCACAACTAACTGCGGAGTAAGTTTCATTGATGTTTATTTAGTATTTCCTAGAAATTTTAGGATCGCATTTTTACCCCATACAAACACTGTCATTTTAATGGAACCGTATTGTGGTACTATCACAGAGCCTGGGTTACCTGTGGTGCTCGGTAACTTTTGGCGTTTGGAGCAAATTTTTGTCGTTCTAGCAACCTCGAGCAAATTTTGCCTTTCTGAGCAACTTTTGAGCAAAACATAGGTTTAGTGGCCCCTCGGCTAAAAGCACATATCAAACACGAAAAAGTCAATGATTCATAGAAAACTTCAATGTTTTTAATTTCTTTTTTAATTATTTAAAATTTTTTTTAAATTTAATTTTTTTTTTCTTCACCGATGTTAGCAATTATTGTGAAAAACGAAAAACAAACCTTTTAATTAACGTTTATATAAAAATATCAAGAAATTTAAGTGGCAACTTTTGAAATTTAGGTAGCAACTTTTTAGCGTTCCAGTGAGAAACTTTCCTGCATTTTACGAGCTCAATTGGGAAACCCTAATCCTGGGGGGATACTCCCTATAATGGCATATACGGGGGCTCGAAAAGGGGTACTTTTTTCAGGCATTAGATCGATGAAAGGGTAGGGATTTTACTTGTTAAGTTACATGGAGGGGGGTTCTATCTCATCGATCGTCGTCGATGCAAACTCTGAAAAGTCAGGTTTCCGTATAATCGCTATGATCGCTGCAATAGCTGAACTTTTTTTTCAGCGATCGCAGCAATCAGAGCGATCGTAGCGATCGTAGCGATCATATGGAAATCAGGCTTTAAGCTCCCTGTGAGCCTGCGTCAGGTCGCTGACATAATGTACCAGCCAGTCAATAACAAAACTGCCCATGCCCACGCGGAGACCCCTGGGAATCTGTCTTTTTTTGAAAGGTTTTGGTCAAATTTCCTGGAATGTTGGCGGTTTAGATGGTCAAATACCCCACCGGCTAGCGCTTGAAAAAGTGTCAAATAAACCGTTTATTCAAATCTAAATTTCCTCCTAAACACAACCGAAATATCTCAAGTCTAGGAAAACTGTCTTACGGAGATTTGTTCATTCCAATAGCACTGTTCATTTCAAAAAGCCCACATTTAACGGGCTCTTTCAAACTACGCGTAAACGGACGCAATATTGGGAGTTGTTGGCCAACAATGTTGCTCCAACAATGTTGCGTCCGTTTGCACGTAGCTTCATAGGCTCTCAAATGCTCCAACAAAACAGTGAATATAGGAGCAATGACGTCAGTAATACTTGAACGTGATGTACACGCTGAACGAAACGCTGACCAACATTTTGACACGAAAGTCAATGCCCTACAGGTCGGGCCTCAAATTTTGGGTCAAATTCCCCACTGTACGGAAAAATTCCCGGGGTATGCCCGGGGGGGTAGGAGGTTTTGGAATTGACTGGTAAGTAATCTAACCCTTGTCGCAGGCTAGCTAGAAAGATTAAGACTCCGTACTGATAAACATTCGGCTGGTGCACGATATACTTAGCGAATAGCAAGTCTCGAGTTACGTCACAAAGAACACAACAATGATCGTTATCCCTTACACGATAACACAATAGACTTCGCACAATAGAACGAGACAATAGTGCATAAATTGACTTGCTATATCGAGCATCACCCAAACATTCGCTCATTTGTTTAATACCCACTTTTAACTGAGTCTGAATTTCTAATTTTTTTCGAGTAGCACCAGCAGATACAGGAGCAGCAACAACCGGCCAGGGTAACAGCAAGTCAGCTGACAAGTGGATTCCCGCGATTGCGATTTTAACGTCTGGACTGGCCTTGTCTTTGACCCTGTTTACGGCTTATCACTTTATTAGTAAAAAGTATGGCACAGGATGCCGCGCGTGGCGTAAGATGACATCAAGAGAGAATGAGCTAAATCATTCTCTCTTGATGACATCCGATCATTTATAAAGCAAAGGAAATCACTAAAAGGGGCTTTGTCACGAGGACACTTGGCTGAGATCATTACTTAATGCCTCACAAAATGCTCAGTTAGATATAAGAAGAAGATTCCACACAAATTTTATCAGGGCGGCACTAACCATAATATTTTTTGGCGATTTTTGTAGGCAGAGCTTCAAAACTTAAAAATGTTGGTTTTAACTGTTTAAGCTTTCAATCCATGTCCATCCTTGCCATCCGTTGCAACAGAAGACAGGAAAAAATTTCAATGCCTAAATTACATAATTCTGTAAACATATTACAATTCCTATTACATATTCTAAATGCTAAATTACACAATATATAAGGCTATCATATTATCTCACCCAACATAGTGTCACATGGCACTTTTGCAGGAAGTCAGACAAGAGAAAACTAGAAAAGTTTCATTCAGGAAAGAGCACTCCGTATTTTGTTCAATAGCTAGTAACTCTTGACTTTGAGATGCTTAAGATAAAACAGGATTGGGAGGAAAAGTTGTTAAATGTGGTAGCATCATCACAAATGTTAGTAATGTAAGCTAGTTCCTAATCAGGGGCACCCAACGGCAATTTTCGGGAAAATATCTGTTCGGAAGACGATTTGAGAACTAGAATTTTCGGAACATTTGTTGTAAAATTTCTTGCTTGCCTTCCTCTCCTAGGATTTTCGAACATCTACAAAATGGTATAATTACCCATTTTAAACGAATATTTACCCTAAAAAAGGCCACCTAGAATTTTCGGGAGTCTTTTCCTGGCTAAAATTTTCGAAAAGGTAAGTTTTGATCCCTATAATTTTCGGATCACTAGACTTTCAGCTAGGAAATCCGAACAGATGAAAAGTTTTTAGGGGATAAAAATATGCCTATATCTACCGTTTAAATACTAAAATACGTTCAACAATGCTATGTTAAGTGGTTTTGAGTTACATCCTCGTTGGGTGCCCCAGCCTAATCATAGTTTGACCTAAGCGATAGATCAAGTGCAGAAATAGTTGGCCCGTACTCGGTTCAGAATCGAAGCAGCTTATGAGTCAGTTAGTCCCAAATGTGTTCAAAAGCGCCCAGTTATGTTTATGCCGACGCACTCTGGAACTAAGATGTGTGCGGAGACTTAAAAAGTAATAATAAACAAAAAAAAAAAATCGGAAGCTGTCCACCACTAACAACAGACAACTGCAAAAAATGAATAAAAGCTCTCACCTTTTTACTTCGCATCGATACAGCATTTGAATAGCACCATAGCAAAGTACTACTCCGTAGCTTTCATTAGAATGTAAACGCTTTACGATTTTACCCACTAGAGACTTAAGAGTCATAGATAATCTGGAAGATTAAGAATTGAATAGGTGCTGCTCAGTAGTCTTTCGATTCATTGTACATGTATGGCCTTTAGCAGTTTAGTCCACAGGCTTTGAATAAAATCTAAAGTATCGTTTCACAGTATGATGAATAGCGCCATGAGAAATGAGTACGAACAGCTCTCACCAGAATTGCCAGCTTGCTTTCAAAGTTTCATTCACGACAGACTAGTGGGTTTGAATCTCGCTCTGACCTTGAGCTGGTTTGTACGTCGTTTCTTGGTAGAATCAACATTGACTGTAAATGATGATTTCATGTGTATCTCTAAGCTCGTTTTCCAGCCGCTTGAAGAAGTCCCAATCGTATTGTTCTCATAACAAGCTGAAGCTAACTTGGTGGAAGCGAAGGAAAACGGGCGTCAGCTTTCATGGTTATCGAGACTAGTTTATTTCCTGCCAATTGTGATTTTATTAAATTAATCATTGATTCTACATGTGTATAAAGTGCCTGTAAACTACATGGAGCTGATAACGTCACTACATTTTATTTATAGTTTATAACGGGACTACTTTATTTGTTCACTAGAAGCAACAACATAATTTGAAAGAAAACCGTAGTTCAACAGCTTTCAGGTGAATGATCAACACGTTTCAGCGCGAGACATGGGCGAAGGGGAAGGCTGCACGCGCTCCAGAAAAATTCGAAAAAATAGCGCATGTTGAAGGTTAGCTGCGAACTTTAGCCCATGAAAATCCTTTGTCCGATAAAGCTGCGTCTGGGTTGCCGTGGACAGCAAAGTCATAAAGTGATGATTCAGCAAGTTTCACGTTGTAGTCGTGCAAAACAACTGCAGAACAGACGCGTTTGCTTTCACTTCTGCTAGAGAGAATAATCATGTAAAGCAGTAGAAAATGACTAAACTTTTGTAATGAAAGAGGCAAGGATTAGATTTAACGTAACGATTATACTGAAGTAAAAATGTCAGTTGTTTTTCCCGGCTGTAAGAAATTAATCACTTAATCGATTGTTAGGCTGTTTGTAGATCATTGAAATTTGTGATTTGTAAAATGGATATGCTGATGAAAAAGTCGCAATAAAATACAGGAAAGGAACAGTCGTTGTTTTCTCTTAACCTCACATCTGCAATGTAAAATCTGCGGCAGAAAATCGAGAGACATTTTGTCACTTTACTCGTGTTTAATTAAAATTATTTTGTCTTCGCTTGGACCAGCAGCTCAGGATCCAGAAGGTCTCCAACATAGACACCAGGGCTAGGTTGCATTAAACCTTCTTAAGATGAGAGGGCTCTTAAGTTTTGTTCTGAAACAATAACCTATTGTTTTGAAATTATAGTTACGAGTTCCTTAATCTTAAGATGTTTTTTGCAACCCAACCCAGGCATCCAGGCCAGCGACCCCAACACTTTTGAGTTTGTGAATGGTCGGTCACCAGGGGTCAGTTTAATGAAACTTTTACGGGTGTAAATTAACAAGTATAGCCATTGGCAATAGCTACACTTGTAAATTACCCTTGTAAAAGATTTATTGACTCCAGCTTACATCTCAAGTGTGGAAAAAATCCATGTCTGCATGACAGAATTTGAAAGGGAGTAGACTGCAAACAGTCTCTCTTTTGCTCGAAAATCTGTCAGTGTTAACGTCAGCAAAAAGAACCTTTGGGCAAATGCCTATTTCTTTAGTTTGTTTTGTCTGTTTGTTTGAAAGAAAGAAAGCCATATGATAATCACCTTATTACCTGAGTTTTCTTGGTCCGTTTTTTAAATTAAGAATCTTCATTTACATATACGCTTTCTCCCTTCATTTATAGTCCTTGCGCAAAGAAAATGCGGTCCCCTAACTCGACTAATTTGAGTCATGTATTTCCATTCGGTATTTGCTTTCACCGAAAAGTCTCCGCCAAAGCCTGGAACGGTGTCAGTTTCTTTAAAAGAAATGTACTAACGAATAAAATTTCCTTTTGGAACATTCTAGCAGCAGTTCCGGTCCTTTTGGATATGGTGGAACGACGGACAAGACGTTTCATTTACTTTTCAACCGGATTTTCCGAGAAGCTAAGCCATGGAGAACAACCATAGCACTCACAGCGATTCTGGAGAAACACACTATAGAAGGGCATGTACACCCATAAAAAACTAGCTAGTGATAAAAAAGGATTAATTCAGACAGGGTGCTGCTACCTTTGGGGGTTTACAGCTATAAACTGAAAACAAAAACAATGAGACAAAATTAAAGTATACCTGAATAAAGGCTGTATCAATACATCGAACTATCGCGATATTACTAAAATCCAACTAGTGATCTATTATCAATGCTGTGTTCTGGTTGGTTGAGCTACTACTAGGCTATTTTATAGCCTACTAGTAGCGAAAAGCGCGCGCTTTTTGGCGGCAAAAAAGGATTAAAGTCTAGCTTTAACTAGCTACAATTTATTTATTCTCGATATATTTGGCCACCTAGTTGGATTTTACTAAAACAATTATTCCTCTCGCCCTCATGGCCTCTGAGTCAATAGCCCATGAGGCCGAAGGCTCATTCGGGCTCGAGGAATAATTGTTAAATATTAACGCTGCGATATATAGCGATGGATCGATAGAAAAAATGAAGCATCGATAACAATCGCGAATGTGTAGCGAACTATCGATAGTTTCGATAGTTTCTATCCTTCAATCATTTTGACTTGTTTGAAAAATAAAGGCAACTTTTTTTTTAATTGCCCATCTGTGATTCTTAAGGTGACAATAACGGTGAAAAAGAAGCTAAAAACAATCTACCGCCCTACTGCACCTAGAATGGTTTAGCGTCTTGATTCTCGAACCACATGGTACCTGTATTCTATGACCAACACTTCTTAGTTATTTCTTAAGTATAAGACATTAAGTAAAACAGATATTCCCTTACACTGTCGCAATGTTATTGCAATATTACTTCCGATCCACTATCGTAAAACTATCGCAATATCCGTGTGGCCTATATTATTGCAATACAACTGCAACCGTTAAAATTTGGACACCAATAGTCACCCCTAACCTGAATACGCCATTAGCGCATGGATGATTAGCGGGTCGACTTGAGGAAGGGTCCAGGGTCCCAGGCCCCCCTTTATTCTTAAGCCAAACTGAATAAAATAAAGGGTCTTTATTAAATTAACACTCTAAACGACAGACGTGTTTAGTTACAATGATATAAATTTAGTCGTACAGATAACTAATTAACTAACTAGGTAACTAACTAACTAACTAACTAACTAAGTAACTAGAGAACAAACATCTATTTACAAAACTTCTCTTGAAACGCTTAATTCTGACAGGCGGCGGGAGATAGTTATGACGCCTTTTTCGTAACGTAACCATAGTTCACTCCGGTGGCAGAAGGTCATCCAAAGCTGTTGTTGAATTGCTGTCGGTGATCTTGTTCCATAACTTCTTATCACTTTTTCTTCTTCTTCTTCACTTCTTCTTCACTTCTTCTTCTTCAAACGTCAAGCATCTCCCACGTTTTCTTGAAGGTTGGTTGCATACGATTAATAGATGTCCATTCGACAATAGATTGGACCCCATTAGTTGCTGAGTTACTGTTGCTAGTACCCAATTTTACAGGAATACTTAAAGTTAAATCATCCGCAAATTTCACTGGCAAATTTTGATTTGGTGTAATGACCTTAATATCATTGACGATGAAAGAAAATAATATAGCACCTAAAACAAATTACATAATGCCAATCGTTATTAACAGCATTATCTTCTCGGAGTTCCGACCACCAGTTACAAGTAGTTATCAATAAAAGGTAGCATAGAGGTAATTTGAAGATCTTGAACATCATAATTGCATTTAAAAAGCATTAGACCTCCAGAATCTTAAGTCATGTATGTTATTATTTATTCAAAATATTTCCCCGATTCTGATTGGTTAAAAGTACACGCATAATTCACCATAACCAGCTACTGATGACCAAATTTGGAAGAATTTTGCGATTAATCAACCGATGACGTCAAAAGTGCAGCTTCCTTGCAGGTAAATGCACCGTTAACCAAGAAGACCTTGGGACGAGGTTGAGGTGTTTTAGTTGTTCAAACAAAAATGGCCAACATTTCACTCGTTTCATGAGTAAGAACTAAGCGAAATAATAGCTAAAAACATGGCAAGAACAGCAAGAAGACAACTCGAAGGGCGACATCTGCTATTTGGGGAATATTTGCGGAGCTTAACAACCCTAAACGTGCAGATCGAAGATGAACTTAACATCTATTTTTATTTTATTTATTTTATTTTATTTGGCACACAATAATTACAAAAAATGAAGGAAAAGAGAAAAAAAGAAGTGGCGAAGAGACCTAACAGAAACTATAGGAGCTTATGAGAGGTTAGGCCTCCTCGAGCTACGGGTTAGAGCTGTTTAACATCAATTAAAAAAAAGATGGCGAAAAGTCGAAGATGGAAACATTCATGAGCTGTTTTAATATTTACTCAATAATTTAATCTTCAGTTTTTTCTTAAAAAAGGAAAGGAATTGAGACTTGATGACTTCGTTATCAAGTGAATTTAGAAATTTCTTAGTGTTTGTATGACAATACGGTAGACGGTGGGTCTGGGAATTTCTTGTGTACTGAGTGGAATTGATTGCTTTGGGAGAAATTGTTATTAAACCTTGGAGGTAAGAACGAATTTTTGCGAGAAAACACAAATTGGCCGAGTTGAAGCAAATGGATATCATTGAATTTTAGTATACCGAGGTCCTTAAAGATTGGGTCTGTATGAGCATTTAAATGTGATTTATTAATAATTCTAATAATGCGCTTTTGCAGGATAACAAGGCGGCGGAGATTGGTTTGGTTGAAGCCCAAACTATATTGCAGTAGTAAAAATAAGGATAAATTAAGGAATAGTAGAGCATACGTAGAGACGATTTAGGAAGAAAGAAGCTGCATCTAGATTTTATACCGATTGAATTCACAACTTTATTTGCAACATGTGATATTTCCGATTTCCAATTTAGGTTTTTATCCAAAATTAGTCCTAGAAAATTTGTCTCCTTTACTTTAACAATATTTTGATTATCTATACTTATTTGAATATTGCAAATTGAACTCTTTTGTCTTGGTTTAAAGACCATAAATTTAGTCTTTTTAAGATTTAGTGAAAGCTTGTTTGCCTTAAACTAGGTTGACAGTTTGTCCATCTCCGCGAGTTTAACATAACTGAAAGATAGTTCGGATCTTTATGTGACATGAATACATTGTTAGACTATTGTTATCGTCAGCGAACAATATCAGATTTAAGAGTGGTTGTCAGAGAAAACCGGGCAAAATGTTAAAAATGTCAACGGAAGGGGGTCAACAGAATAAGTTTATACTAACATCATAGATAGGTTAGGTGGAGTAATGGACAAATATAATAAACATAGGTTCTTCACTGCTCTTGTATTAGAGATACGAGTATCACTCTATTCGACCCCCTCGGACGCCATTTTTATAAGCAAATTTTCACCATTTTCTGAAACTCACAGAACCCTCAAAATTTAACGAGCGAAGTTTATTTTTTGCATGCGATACAATACATCATAGAACTACTTTCTAAAACCATAAGAATTGTTAAGCAGCCACGGACAAGACTAAAATTTTCTTATTTTATCTGACCTAAACTTAGTGTCTGCAAAGGAGCAAAAAATCGGGCATTTTTGAATTGATCTACAGCGTACAACTAAAACGACAGAACAACTCTGACAGCCAAATTGCAGTCTACTATCACCCATGTAACCAAAACACTAATAATCATTTTGGGCCATTGAAACAGGAAGAAATTAGAAAACTCACATTTGTTATAGTTTCCAAGCTTTTTCTTGCAAACAGGCCGATCCCTTCGTGCTTGTTTTAAGTCCTCTTCGTGAGTTTTCTTCCATATTTCGCTGTAAAGTATGTTCAGCAGCTGGAGGAAATATCAAAAAGCTCGAAATACTGCCTAGGTTACATGTTCAAAGGGCAAAAAGTACTGAACAACAGGATGAAACTAGAAAATAACAAAGC